GGAATTACTGCCTGGTGTCGTTAGCCACTTTGGATAATGAAACACAGCTAGTAATTGTAAATAAATTAAATAAAGATGTGAATGGTGACTGACTCTGGAAGGTTGAGTAGAGGGTGTTTTTCACAGAGGAGGAAGTCTGGGCTAAGGACTGAAGTGGGGGTCAGGATACTGGACCCCTGTGCTGCTTCTGTCTGATGCTGCTGGTTCATGTGACCTCTGGCAGGCCGTCGTTCTGCCTGTGCCTCTTGTTTTCTGCCTGGGCATTGCTGCTCTTTGCAGCAGAGGAGACGTTGCGGGAAGTAAATCCCTGTAGAAAAATGGGAGTGCAGCAGCACATGGCAGATGCATAGAGCAGCCCTACAATTCAGGCAGCTGACCACCTACGGAGACGGCTGTTGTCAACTGCCAGGCAGTGTGGTGACAGGGGGGAAAGGGCTGCCTGTGAGTCAGAAAGCAGGTTGTGAGTGAGCTCCTCAGCTCTGACAGCCCTTTCAAAATGAGCCAGCATTTGGGACTAGACCAGGATATGCTATTTGCAGTCCTCAAGCTACAGTGGGAAAGCAGACTTTGCATGTGTCCTGTGTAGTAGTGTTGTACTGTGGATTTTTGACCTCAATTCTTGCCTGAGCTCTTAATGTGAGGTTTATTCATGCAGTGTTACCCTATTCTGCAAATGCTGGTTTGGGTTTAAGCTTATCACTGACTTCTGTCCATCAGTCCACTCTAATATGAGCCTTTCTTTGCCTTTCATCCATATCAGATTCAGCAGCCTCATGAAAACATCCCCATTTTTTAAAGTGGACAAAAAAAGTTTCACCTGAAATTCTTTTCCTGTATTTACCCCACAAGTGAAAAACTTTCCATAATGCATCACTGCCATTCTGGGATGCTTTGACTTCATCATTGTTGAAAGAAGCATCTCTGCCTTCTGGAGGCATCTGAGTTTGATAGGAACCTGCAGTAATCAGACAGCATTGCAGGGATCGCTGAGCACCCTTTCTTGAGCTGTGCCACAGCAGGACAGCACAGTAACAGTGCAAAGAGACTGTGGTCTCTCCTTCAACCACTTTGGCTCTTGTAAGAAAGAACACTCCCGCCTTCCTCAAGGCTAAAATAAAAACAGACTTCAACCAAATATTTACAGACTTGACCACTGCTCAATAGCCAGTGCACTACTCAGTCATCTAGCAGGATAAGCATTTAATTCCTGGTTATATCCAGTGAAAACAGAAAATAAGAGGTTATTTGGGACACAAAGCAGCACCCCTTGACACTTGACATTTCTCTGTTGTGCTTCTCTCGCTCTTCATCATCGTGAACACCATACTAGCTTAGCAACACTTCAGTGCAGAGCATCTGCTCTGGCTCACAGCAAGAGAGCTGCCTACAGCCCGGCTTTGCTTTAGAAGGGTGCCTGGCATGCTGGAGTAGGTTGCCTGTGTTCTGCTGATTTGATTTGCTCCTAACGAGCAGGTGAGTGATTATGTTTTCTCCTGTTGCACAATAATTCCGCTGCAAAGGCAGGCTGCCCTGCCTGCTGTTTCACAGCAGCCGCATCTTAACAAGGTTGCTGGAGGAGCCTCGCTCCTCCAACATTGCCTGTAATGGTGATGTGCTGCCCTCCTCACCCTTTTCATCACTCCTCCTGCCAGCCAGCTCTTCTAGAGTTAAGCTGTGTGCTGAGAGAAAGCAGTAATTGTCTGTATTTGTTCGCTGCGTTTCTTACCGGGGGATCCCGAAGCCCTGTGTATGCAGAGAGGGTTTTTACCTCCTCCTTGAAGCATACCAATCTGCTGCCTGCAACACGTCTGCTGCTCAAAAGGGCACTTCAGCTGCATGCACTGCAGTTCAGGGAAGGCACGGAAAGGCATTTGAGGACCCTCTGGACATGGGTCTCCCTTTGGGACTGAGTTAAAAACGGGGACTGATACACAAGCTCCCCAGAGAGCACCATGGTAGCTTAGTGAGCTGGATTAGCCAGATCATGCCGTGCTGAGCAGAACAGGTCCCTTACAGCCATCAGGGATGCTGCTTCCCTGTGGGGATTAAAGACATCTGGGAAATGGTTATCATTTCCTGCAGCTCCCTGAAGGTGTCTGGGCAGCAGTCACGTTGGAGTTCTCCGCTCCGTGACCATCACCATCTCAGGTGTACCAGAGCTGTTCAGCTCCTAGTCCTGGGAAGCAGGAGCACCAGCTCATTTAAACAGACTTTCTTTCGCATTTAAGCCAGGGATGAGAAAAGGTTGTGGTGTTACCTGCTAGCATTTGCAGTCTGAATCCCTGCCTTGGTGGGGGTCTCCCCTTTGTGTATAACCTACTTGAAGAAGTGTGGGCTCCCCAGTAGGCATTGGAAGCCTGAGCTGATGTCTGGCTCTGTAATTGCAGTTGACCTTTCTTTACTCTCATATCCACTGGCAGCCTTCAGCAGCAGCTGCCCCTTGCCGTAGTGCTGCCTGCATCCTTTGAAGTGATGGGATGACTTGCTTCAGCTCGCTATCCAGAAAACCCAGGGGCTCCATGACTACCTGTGGAGTTAATGCTTGTTGGGTGTTTTCCTAGTGCCAGAGACAGAAGGAGAAAATCTAATCAGTTTTTACTGTACAGGCACTTTCAGATGTTCCCTTTGCAAGGTGGTAACACAGGTCCAAAGCCTGTCCCAGTGAAAATCAAGTAAATCCTATTTCCCAGCTGAAGAAGATTAAATATCTTCTGCATCCTTGGCCTGCCCTGCTGTTCCTGTGACCTAAGGAAGCATCTGGATTGTCCCAGCCTCAGACACTCCCTCAGGGAGGCTCAGGGGAGCATTTTTCTTTGCAGCATGTGTCCTTGCAGGGGGCACTTTGTCCTTGTTCAGACCTTTTCCTTCCCTCTGTCCCAGCTCCATACACAGGTGCTGCTTAATGCAGTGAGGGAAGCTGATCTCCCACCCCTTTCTCCTCTTCATGAGATAGATTGCTTTGAATACATCTGGAGCTGCTGTGCCATCTTTTTTTAATACTTCCATTCTCTTTTCTCTTCCCTTTTTATATTTTTTTTCCCCCCTACATCACCAGCTGTCCTTGATTATAATGTGAGACCCCACTGGCTTCAATTAAGGAGCAGATGTGACCTAAGAAATGGGATAGCAGCTAGGGATGGAGATGACACATTCATGGCACTAGGTCTAATCAAACAACTTCTCACATTATTCTCACCGTGAGGTGGGAGACGTGTGAGCCAAAGGCAAGTCAGCGCTTGGAGCACCCGCAGAGACACATTGCTAGCAAAGCCATCTGTAATGAGCTGACCATACCACTCAGCACGTCAACGACAGCTCAGTCAAGGGCTGCTTTTAATCCACTTAAGTGCAGCAAAGGGCCCAAAGGCTGAGAGTAGAGAAACAGGTACCTAGAAAACAATCAGCCACTGTCAACCGAGGGCTGCCTGCTGGAGGGGATGCTCGTAGGCTGTGTACCCACATCCATGTCCCTAGGAAGAGGGATGCTGTGCATGGAGACCTCTGGGGTGGGGCATGCACCACCTTCATCTGCGATGAAGATGTTGCTAGCACTACAGAGCTGTAGGTGGGTCTTGCTGAGGTCAGGCCATGGGAGGGGAGAGACTGGTGCACCGAAGCCCTCCAGGCACAGCTGTGTTCAGGGCAGTGGGGATGCTGTGTGACCCATGGTTGCTGGTGGGGCTGCGTCTGGGGCACTGCAGACGCTGTGCATTGCAGGTTTTGGGGGTCTGGCTGTGCTTAGCAGCTCTGCGTACATTTAGAGGAGGAAAGTGCTTTGTAGCTCTCTAGTGCCTAGAAGTTGTCTGTGGAAGAGCAGGTGCTTTGAACCTGGAGAAGGTGAGCTGTGATTGTGCTGGAGCACAATAAATCTGCTCTCCCTCTTTTACATTCGGACTAACAGCTGTTTGTGTTCAGGAAGCCTTTCTCATTTCAGAGGGAGAGCTTCTGGCTATTCCCATGCTGTAGTCTTTTAATTAAGAGTTTATTGCAAATGAAACATGTCCATCAGATGGCTGTGGAGATTGAACTCCTCTGCCATTGCATTAAATAAAGGGCAACCCAAGCATTAACAATCCAGACCTTCTCCTTGCTCTGCCTCAGCCATGCCCAAATCATGTAAATTTTGACAAGTGCTAAAGAACAAGACTCAGTAGCCTCCCCTTGCTAAGGAGGTGGCCACACATCACCATTCTCACACTGCTGCAGAAAAGGTGAGGTGGAGAGACATGTGGAGAGCCTGGACGAGGCTTTGAGCAACCTGGTGTAGTGGAACGTGTCCCTGCCCATGGCAGGGGGGTTGGAACTAGATGGTATTTAAGATCCCTTCCAACCCAAACCATCTGATGATTCTGATTCTATGACACGCCTCCCAACGTCAGGAAATTGTTGCCAGAGATAAAAATAGGACCCAAGACCCCTGGCCAGTCCCTGATGCGTGTAACTGATGTATTTGGGAGAAGCCACTCCAACATCCCTGACGTCTGTGCTCAGTGGGGACATCCAGTGCGTATCCCTCCATGTGGACATGGTGCCCCTGGATACCCTGTCAGGTGTTGACCAGAAGAAGATTAATTTTAACTGCTTGGGAGCATACCTGCCTGCTCAGGGAGTGCAGTTTATAGTGGGTATGAGGGTTATGGTGGTTCTGATCAAGATCTAAGCTGTTGCGCTCAGCTGCTGGAGTTGCACTTCTTACATGGGACAGCAGGGCTTGGTAGCTCCCCCAGGCAGTGTCTCACTGCGGGATGAGTACTTGCTAAAGGCCACTCCTGCCTGATAAATGGGAGGGAGGTGGGAGGTGGCCCCAACCCAGTTGGAAGGGGATGTCAGACAACTACTGCTGTTTTCAGTTTGATGAAGCCTGGGTCCCGCTAGAAAAATAAATATCCTCTTGGAAATGATAGGTGCCTGTCTCCCCAGAGGCACTGCCAGGGTGACCCTGCTGAGTGAGACGGCTGTTCCCTGATGGCTCCCCGTGTGTTGCTCTGTTCGGTCTCCAGTCCCTCCCGTGGTGGAGCCGGCCTTCCAGGATGTGCGCCAGGGTCTGGGGCGCAGCGTCACCCTGCGCTGCACCATGCTGAAGGGCAGCCCCATGAAGGTGGCCACCTCCGTCTGGCGCTTCAACGGGACCCTGCTGGCCCAGCCCCTGGCAGAGCAGCAGGACTACTCCGAGCTGAAGGTGGACAGCGTCAGCCGGGAGACCAGCGGTAGCTACGAGTGCAGCATTTCCAACGACGTGGGGGTCTCCACCTGCCTCTTCCAGGTGTCTGGTAAGTGACAGAGTGCACATCAGAGCAAGATGTTGGATGGGGTCATGGAGGTGGGAAGCTTGCTTCCGATAAACTGGGGCCAGTACAAGCAACTTCTTATTGAGGCAATACTTCAAGTCTGTGATGGACCTGGGGCTGTTAGTGGCAGCCACTGGTACGTCAGCGGTGTTTGACCACTTGCCTGAATGACACAAGAGGTAAACTCAAGGCTGCCATCAGCTATCAAGCTTGGACAACCTCTATCGTATTGACCAAGGGGGAGTGAAAGGCTCTACATCCCCAGGACCATCTAATTTCCCCTTTAAAAGCTAACAAACAAATAAAACTGTATTGCGTAATGCTGTAGCTTCCCTCTGTCCCCTGGCTAGCTGTGTTGTGATGCCTGCTAGGACAAATATGAGCTGGGAGTGGGTACCAGTACCCAGTGGATTTGCTGTTCACGGTTTTCTGTGAATCCAGCAGGCACTGTAATGGCACTTCTCTCCAGCACCTGCAACTGCAAAGACGAATGGCAGAGTTACAGCATCTAAAACCACATATCTGACCTAGCCTCTCCAGCTGATCATTAAATCTGTTTTTCCCATGACCCTAGAATTGACTTGGGTACCAGTTTCTAAACAAGCTTTCCGATGAAGTTGCCTTAATAAGTAGTAAATTCAGCCAAAATACTGGGTTTTTCATTCCATGGCCAATTTATAATATTTTTCAAGTCAGGACTGAACAAATGAGAATAAATAACATCCAGGGAGGCCTGATTTTGCAGCAGATCTTTCCCAGGGTTTGGAAGAGCTCAGTTGTAACTCTGAGATGCTCTCAGAAATGGGGAAGCCCAAAACCACTTATACAGTTTGTGACCCTTTTGAGGATCTTACTGTCACCCCTTGAGATCTCCTGAAATTTGTGTGGCAGTGGATATTGCTTGAAAGCTTTGTCCCTCTCTGCCCTTTCTTCATATGCTTGCAACTGTCACATCACTAACTAAATGATGGCAGACCATAGCCCACTAAGAGCCACCATGGAAAACTTCATCCCTAGCAAGCCTGGGAACGCTCCAAGGATCCAAATTTCTTGCTGGTAGTAGTAACAAACACATATGCCACCCAGTGTGCCGTACTGTGCCCCATGAGATAAAGTTCCCTCAGCAGAAAGCAACATTCATCCCTGGAGAGCACTCATCAGGGAGGCAACAAGCACCCATTTTCCTGCATCACTTTTCTGTTTCTGAGGCACTGATGTCTGATGGTGGCTTTTCGGCTCCAGGCATCTCTGTCTGTGTTTTGGGCAGCTGCAAAACAATTAGAGCTTCTGAGCCTGTAGAGCAGCCTAAAAAATAATCCGGTGGCTAGACTGCTGTGGTTGGGCTCAAGGCCTCTGGAATTTTATTCCTGTCTGCCTTCCTGAGCGAATAGGGGGAATGGTGCCATGTCTTCGTATTTCTGTTCCTTCTCTGTGAAAGAAGGGCCGTAAATCTTCCTATTTGACAGGGAGACAGTGACTCATCTGTGACTGCGAGGGGTTTGGATGTACTGGAAACAGAGTACATAAACCTACCCAGGATGGGATTAGTTTCTTCTATGGATGGGATATAAGATTTCTGAGATGTTTTGGAAGGATAGTGAGACATCCAACCCACTTTCCTTGAGCAAGTTATCTGGGCAGCCCATCCTGGTCACCACCTGCTCTCTTACGAGCTACAAGCACAGAAAAGCCCTGAAAGATGGAGTGCATAACCTTCAGTTCTTCCTGTCTGCTGTAAGCAAAAGACAAAACTTTTAAGCAATGGTAGAAGTTTCAAGAAAGGAAATTCCAAAAGTATCTTGATGTGATGCATTTCTATTATAAGCCTTTCTTTTTTAGCTTCTGTTTCCATTTTGGGGTCAATTAGTAAGGAATTAATATCATGCAAGATGATGATTATCATCAGTTCCGATTTTATTTTGGAATCCATTATGAAGCTTGACTTCCACAGTCAATACAAGTTGAATAAGCAGCAATTAGTCTCTGAGGTGGTTCTGAACTTCTTGCTTGTGCAAAAATTCAAGTCAATAAAAATAATAAGAAAAAAAGGACTTGGAAATAAACATCAATATTATCCATCTGAGTTCATAAAAAATAAACACTGAATCCTTTCGAGCCTAATTATAACCACACAGAATGGCAGGGCCAGTGATTCAAGTGGAAAGGTGCAGCAGACTGCCTGGGGAGATGGTGCTTATGTTGGTTCTGCTCTCCAGCATTCCTTGCTGCTCAGGCATCTTTCTGGTCTGTGCAGGTCCAGGCTGGACCTGAACCCAGAAAGAAGAGTTTTGGGTCAGGTCCAGCTCCTGCCTGGCCCAGGACAGGACCTGCCAAAAATCGAAGTGCACAGGGGGAAATGAAGGTAGTTTCAAATAGGGAAAAACCGGTTGTGGATAAGACCTCAAGTTGCTTCTGGACCTCGAGCATTATTTCACTAGCCGCTGGGCTGTAGCCTTCAAATCCTGTTTGTTAGGGGTCCAGGACAGCAGTGGCTGGGAAATGATGGGAAATCACTTCTTCTCTGAACCATCCAGTTGCTCTCTGGTGCATCATTTCTCCTGTGTTTCCCTTCCTCCTGCTGCCCTCTGTTTTTAAGTGGAGATGTGGGTTTAGAAAAGACATCTCTGCCCCTGCAGAAGCTCCCGCTGCTTTTACCAGGCTGAGGTCAGCATCCCCTTTGCTGCTGAGTTGACTGTCGTGTTACAAAGAGGCTGAAGCACTGTGTTGCCAAGGCAGGGGAGATGCAGAAGGAGCAAGGTCTCCCTTTTAATGCCATGGACCCTGTGTGATAAATAACACTTTTCCGATGACCTACTGGCCAAATGATCTTTCCTCAGGGTTTGTTAGCAGGAGACTCTGTAAAGCAGCAGATGAAACAGGAGAAATGCCAGTTTAAAGCTGTTACCTCAATCTAAACTACAAAGCAACAGAGAAAAGATTAGAGCTGGTTCCAGCTGCAGAACTGAAGCTGTTCCCACCTTCTCTGGCGTTGGTCATGCCCCACTGGTGTGGCAGGGCTGCCTACCCTCCCAGTAGTTTAGGCTGTGAAAGCGGTAGCAATTCACAGGAAATGATGGCACATCAGTGCAACACCAGCTACAATAGTAAAGGTGTTTGTCACGTCAAAGGCAAATGGATGAGCTGGGCAGCAGAGCTGTTCCACTCGAGCCACATCTCTTTGTTACCCTTAATCCCACTCTTTTGCCTTTTTTTTCTTTTTTTTTTACCTCTCCAGCAAGAGCTTACAGCCCAGAGTTTTACTATGACACTCCCAACCCCACCTTGAGCCAGAAGCAATCCAAGAATTACTCTTACGTCTTGCAGTGGACACAGAAGGAGCCCGATGCTGTGGATCCTATCCTTAAGTACCGCTTGGAAGTCCGGCAGGTAAGGTCTGCTCTTCTAGAGCCTCAGCGCATGCCCTGGGGAAGAGGACTCTCAGGAGGCAGTTATGTCAATGTCTGCTTGCCAGTTAAGAGCTGAAGGTGATGGAATTGCCAGACCCTGATGGTCTTGTGCCTTCCCCACCGGATGGAAGAGACAGGCCAAGTGGGCAGCTCGTCATTCATTTTTACCTCTGGTGTAAGGTACGATTGAGGGCTTTGCATCCCAGTGAACAAGGCATTGGACTGCTCATGCTCCATGTTTTGAATGGGGCTTTAAAGAGAGCAAAACCTCACAGTCATTAGTAAGTACTGTAGATTTTGTAGGCCAAAGACTCAAGCGAGTAGAATTCCACCCTCCCCACTCCTGTGAAACCATGGGAATAAGCCAAAGAGGTCTCCAGGCAGGAACTGCAGGGAAAAAGTCATTGGCTGTTTGTGTTGCAAAAGGGCTTCCATACTGTCATGGTAATGAAGCCATTTGGACTGTATAAACGCTATATGGAAAGAGAAGTGGGTTTCAAGGTTTCTGAGTTCAAAGAGAAATCATACCAGAGGGTCAGGGAGGGGAGAACTGAAGGAAATCTGAAGACATCACAGGTTGGAGAAGGTTAGGGAAAGGAGCCTGATGTTTATAAAGAGGTACTTTCATCCGTGCTCAACAGCGTGCCTGCATTCAACATTTTGTAAAAATAGGGACACTTAAAATCGGTGGTTCTTGCCATTCAGTGGTAGCTTGGAAGCAAATGCCTTTTGCAAGGAAAAGTTTGTTTACTGTAGATAGAAAACAAAATAATTAAAAGATCCAAGTGTCTCTTTCCTCTAGTTCTGCACAGTAGGCTCCAGTTTTATGTCTCCGTTTGATTGTGAGCTCTCTGGGGTGGGACAGCCTTTGTTTGCTACTCAAACCGCACAGAGCACATTGTCAGTGCTTAATAATAATGCAGGACACAGGGGAGCCTCTAATAATGAAGGCAGTTTGTCATAGTACCCCTTCTCTCTTAGCCAAGTTTTGCTATTATCAGCACTGCAACTCAATGAACTAATTTGTGATTTTTATCCTTCTCCAGTGATGTTGAGTTTTTTTGCTTTTGCACAGTGCCTAGTACTAATCTTGGATCTATTCCTCATTGAGCTCCTACTGCAAGGGATCAAGAAAAGGGAAAATCACAATTCTGCTTTCCTTCTGACATGAAGGAAGCTGAGTGCCTGCACAAATTTAACCACCCCGGTTTTGTTCATACGCCATCAGTTACTGCTGTTAATGTTTCTTTTGCAGCAACACCACATAGTTGTGACTACTGAGCAGTGTGTTTTAGAGGAATGTTATACCACAGCCTTGCTGTTCCCCAGTCTCACATATGGTCACTGTCTTAGGAAGGCTATACGTGCCATTGTGGTGGCCTGGTTCTGAATATGGGAGAGCAGAGAGAGGAGGAAGCAGAGGAGTTTTGTTCCCACTTCTGTCAAGCATAAGTAGGAAACACTCTGGAAGAGGCTTTCATGGTATTGCCTCCTCCTGGCCCTCCTCTGACAAAGACACTTGTATTTCATAGAATCTTCTAGGTTGGAAAAGACCTTTAAGATCATCAAGTCCAACCATTAACCTAGCACTGCCAAGCCCATTAAACCGTATCCCTAAGCACAACATCTACATGTTTTAAATACCTGTGGGGATGGTGACTCAACGACTTCTGTGGGCAGCCTGTTCCAATGCTTGATGACACTTTCAGTGAAGAAATATTTCCTAATATCCAATCTAAACCTCCCCTGGTGCAACCTGAGGCCCTTTCCTCTTGTCCTATCATTTGTTACTTGGGAGAAGAGACTGATACCCACCTCTGCAACCTCCTTCCAGGTAGTGGAGAGTGATAAGGTCTCCCCTAAGCCTCCTCTTCTCCAGGCTAAACCAGCTCCGTTGCCCTTCTCTGGACATGCTCCAGCACCTCAATGTGTTTCTTCTTGCGGGTGGCCCAAAACTGAACACAGGATTCAAGGTGCAGCCCCTCTGAGTACAGGGGCACAATCACTCCCTAGTCCTGCTGACCACACTGTTCCTGATGCAGGCCAGGATGCCATTGGCCTTCCTGGCCACCTGGGCACACCGCTGGCTCATATTCAGCTGGCTGTTGACCAACATCCCCAGGTCTTTTCCCCCAGGGCAGCTTTCCAGCCACTCATCCCCAAGCCCATAGTGTTGCAGGGGGTTGTTGCAGCCCTCATGGTGAGGTTTCTGCCTCCATGTGACAAACTGATACCTCACTGAGCCCTTTTTACTTCCTTGTCCCAGAAGACCACATCCCCTCTCCACATCAACCTGCCATTTCCCAGAGTTACCTCTGTCTTCCTGGCATTAGCCTGGTGATCTCTCACTTGGGCTCCAAGCAGCCTGGTGACACCTTTTTACCATGTGCCATCCCTCTCTCCCACATCCCATAGGCTTTGCTGCTTTGTTGCACCTTCTTCTCCATGCTGGGATGCCCGGGCTGAGCTTTGTGTCCTGCTGCTCCATCGCTGGACTGCAGAACATGGTGACATTACTGAATATAACTGTGAAAAGCTCAAAAGCTTAAAAGCATTGCTGACTGGAGAGCTCTTAAGAAAGGGGATTCGTCTGCCTGAATGAGGAACCACTGTTTGCCTGTGCACCCTCCTCACTGGATACACGGGCTTCCAGGCACGAGCTGTGGTGGAAGAAAAATCCTCCAAGAGAGCTAGGATTGAAGTGGAATATTCTCCACAGATAAAACGGGCCTTACACAGGGCCAGTCATGACTGATTTATTACCAGCATCAGGCTGATGAAAGCTTACCCAGCCCGCCAGCTCAGCTTCTCCTCTAGCCCTGGGAGCTCCCCAGCCCCAGTGGTCGGTGGCAGAGGCTCTTCAGCATCTTAGGGATGAACAGGACAGCAGCAGCATCGTGCAGTCTCACAGTGGTGAGTAGCTGTCTGGGATGTGTTAACTCTTGCTGTGCTGGAGTACAAAAGGCAGACAGCTGGGCTGCCCCACCGGTTGTAAACCATGTTGCTGGTTTTCATTTCACTGTCCCCAGTTTGCTTGAAGAGCTCTTGGCCTATGTAATGTGAAGATCCCTAAGCAGCAGGATTCTTTGCAAGGCACCTGGGAACCCTTGAATTAAATTTTCTTGCTGCAGCTGCTGGAAATGGGGCTGGGTGAGAGTCAAAGTACTGTTTATTAATTGGCTGGTGCTGTGGCTCCTCCAACTCTTCCTGTTCAACAGGGCAGTCCTGGGGGAATTGCAAGTAGTCTCAGGGATTTTGGTTTCCTAAGCGATGCATGGAGGCTCCCAGCAAGATGGGCAGGTGTATTTTCACGGGAGCTGATTGTTCCCAGCACTGCGGAGCAGGATGAGCAGCACAGCAGACGTATCGGTTCCAGTAGAATAAGAATTAACCTTTGATTAAAACCAAATAAACACCCTGACAGCTTGGAGCCACTGACCCAGGCAAAGCGCATACGATAGCAACGTGGAGCAAGCTTCTTGTAAAGCCTCCTTCGTGTGTCTTGGCAAATAGGCTGTTATTTCTCGGAGCGCATCGGGCTTAGGCAGCAGCGTTGTGTTGAGTGGCAACTCAGAGGGGAAAGTGTCCCCAATGAGGAATGGTAGGGGCCTCAGACCCTGTCCTGGAGGCTTGGGAGGGTTTCCCTTTCCTGCTCCAAGGCAACTGATCCAAATGCCGACCATCTTACCTCACCTTAGCCAGTGAATTCAGTGAATTCAAAGCCTTGTGTGGTTTGGTTGTGGGCAGATGCCATGAGGCTGTTGGGCCATTTGTTTGGTCAGCTTTTTTGCTTCCATGTATTCTTGTAGGATGGAAAGGCACTGAGGCACTGCACTCCAACTGAAAATGTTTTTCATTGCTTGGGGATTCAAAGCAGGCTCCCCAAACCAGATCTTTGCTTAAAAAATAAAAAGCCTTTTAAGTTGCTTGTTTCTCTCTGTGTATTTTATCCCCTCCCAGAGCTCTGCTCTAACATTAAAGAGAAATGAAAAGCCATCTAATATTGCAAGCAGGTTGCGTCCTGGAGGAAAGATCTGAGCTGGGTTGGTGGTTACGGTTACAGGGGATAGTGGCAGAATTACTGTGCACTTAATGAGCTGGAACCCATCTGTGACCGGAGGCTGCAGGAGAAAGAGGAAGGAGAAGGTACTGGTGCAGTAGGGAAGTTTAATGTTCATTGTGCCCCTCAAGGAGACCTGAGGCTGCTGTCTCCCCCGTACCTTCTGATACGCAGGCTCGGGCCAGAACAGGGTTCCCATAACACATTCCCGCCTTTCCTCTCCTTGGAGCAAGCTCAGCTCTACCTGCCAGACAGACAGACCTCTGTAATTTGCACCAGGTCAGGCCCCGGACCCATTTGCTAAATTAGCTCACTGTGTTGTCACTTCAGATTAATTCCTGTCAGAGACCGTCTTTAATGAGACTGGCCCTGTGCGATGCCTGAGTACTTGTACGGTCTCTCTTTGTTTGCACTTTCATCCCCTCCGTGTTGGATAAACATCCCCCGCTGTCTACAAAACTCATCCGGGCTCCGGAGCCGGCTGCCATTTGCCTCATCAGCCAGCCCGAGCGGCATTAATGAGAGCTGCGGCGGTGGGGAGCCGGGCTCACCGTGTGGGGAGGTGACAGATAACAGAGCTGTTTGGACAGACACAGGACAGGGGCGTTAGCAGGAATTTAATGATTGTGATTAGAGTGGAAGGTTAACTCTGCTGATGGCCGGTGCAGCGCAGCAGGAGAGGTTTTATGCCGAGGCCCACGGGCTGTGGATCTGTATCGCTTCATTTGTGCCTCCGAGTTGTTCTTTTGCTCTCCTCTGAGCCCGCTTCAGCAGCGTCTGTCAGCTGCTGTCTGTCTGTGGCTCTGCTACCGCATGGAGCCGGACACCGCTCCAAGGGTGCGCTGACCAGGGCAGGGACATCTCTCTTCGCACCAAGCAGGGGCGGTACTGCTCGAAAGGGAGGATGAGCAAGCAGTGCA